AGATTAGAAACTCCCTGGACGGTTGCGCGGAGACATGAGAAGTTGGTGAACTGGAAGACAGAGCTGTGGGAACTATCCAATCTAAAAACCAGAGGAGAAAGATGGGGGGGGGGGATGAGCAGCACATCAGCAATCTGTGTGACGATGTTGAAGGCCTGATATTTCACTGGAGTTCCAAGGCAGAGAAGGGAAGGACGTGGGGGACACATTTAAAGAAATAATGGATGGAAAAACAAATCCCAATTTGGCAAAAGATGTGAATTGGTCGATTCTAGGATCCCAGAACCCTCCGGCAGAAGCAGCACAGAGAAAAGCGTCCCTAGGAACACCCGCTGACAAACACCTGTCTCGCGTGACCCGTTAGGAACCCAGAACACTCAGGGAGCAGTGACGTCTCATCAGAAACAATGCGGGACACAGAACGTGGACGAGCACCAACAAAGGCTGGGAGGAAAAACAAACAAAAACCAGGACTCTAATCTGGTCCTTCGAGCATGAAGGCGAAGTGAGAGCTCGCTGGGCCGTGTCCGCGCTCTGCTCCCACCTCATTGCAGGGGCCGGGGGGGGCCCTCGGACCTCGCGCCTGCCGCCCTGTCCCGGCCCCCAGGGCTCACTGCGCCCGCCCTGCCCTCCCCCTGCCCTCAACCCTCCTCCGCTTTGCTCCCCCTTCTGCTCACAGGTCACGTTCTCAGGTGGACTTGCCCTTTCAACACAGACCCAGAAGGGCTCCCCAACTGTGAGTCTTCCTCGCATCGTCTCCTCCACAGAACGCAGCATTTGTAATGCCCCCCATCACATCCCGATGTGTCCGGCCCCAAGCAGCAGGTGCAGGCCTCCGGTCGGCGGGGTTTCCTGCAGGCACACACAGGCACTCCGCAAATCTGGCCCAAACAAAGGAATGAGCACCTATAGTTTCCGGAATTCGTGAAGATTAAGAAAGCCAATAATTCCTTCTGATGTCTGCCTGCAAGGTTTTCACCGTGGATGTGAACCAAGGGTGGAAGATCTTGCCACTGAGGCGGCGCGTGAGCTCAGGCTGGGCTCCCCTTCTGTGCATGGCGTGGCGCCCATGGGGGGACCGAGAGAGCACCTTCTGGAGCCCTCAGCTCCGCGGGTAGCCCCATGGACGTGCACAGAGCCGGGCCGGCCGTAACAAGCCCCCGCGCACTGGGTGGCTTAGAAGCCCGTTCTCTTGCGGTTGTGGAGGCCAGAAGTCCCCTATCAAGACCAGTGGTGATGGTTCCTTCGGGCGGCTCTTTTGGAGGACCCACCCCAGGCGTCTCCCAGCCTCTGCAGATGCCAGCGATCCTGGGCTGGTCGACGCCTCCCTCCCCGTCTGCCTCCCGCCACACGCCTGTGTCCCGGGTCCCTCTTCCTGCACAGACACTTGGCACATTGCATTTACGGCCCACCCTACCCCAGCATGACCTCATCTTCATTACATCTGCAAAGGCCACATTCCCAAATAAGGTCACATTCTGGGCTCCCGGGGGTTAGGATTTCCACGTATCTTTTGGGGGGATGTTGTTTGACCCCCAGCCACCCCCCCAGACGGTTTGCACTCCTGACTCTATCACCTCCCAGCTGCCATCACTAGGGATGAACACGCAGCTCATGGCAATGTTGGGAGATCAGCGAGTGACAGCTGAGGGGACGAGCCAAGCTTGGGGGTCAGTGGTCACCATGGGATCCTGACCCTGGGAGAGGCAGGTCACAAGAAAACTGCTTCATCGTGGGACCTTCTCAGCCCAGCTCTGGGGGCAGGGGCGGGGGTGTCCTGAGTGCTGGAGCAGAACCCAGGCCCTGTGACTCTCTGCAACCCAGTCAGGAAGGCTGGGCAGGGGGCTCCCTAGGGAAAAACGCTGCACAGTCCCTCCCAGTCCTCAGGTCTGGGCAGAGGGAACGGGACGGCGGCTACGGGGCCGTGGCCTCTGGGAGCAGGGGGCAGTGCTGGTCAGGTGCTGAGTCTGCTGCAGAGCGGGGGCGGGGGGGGTGGTGGGCAGGAACAAAGTGCTACACACGGGAGTTTAAACAAAAGAGATTTCCTCTCTCCCAGTCAGGAGGCCAGAAGCCTGGGACTGAGGTGTCGGCCTGGCTATTCCCGCTGAAGGATCTGTCCCGGGCCTCTCCCCGCTCCTGGGGAGAGCAAATCCCCAGTCTTCGCTGGGCGTCTCCTTGTGCGAATCTCGTGCCCCGTTACCCCCGGTTCATGAGGACACCAGTCATCCTGGGTCAGGGCCCCATTCCAAGCATGACATCATCTGAACTCATAACATCTGTAATGATGCTGGTTTCAAATAAGGTCACATTCTGAGGTCCTGGGGGTTAGGACCTCCACATACGTATCTGGGGGGATCACAATTCAGCCCCCAACAGACTTCAGTCACTGTCCTTGGCCTGCAGGAGGCTGTGGGTTCCCGGGGGCCTGCAGGACCCATCGGAATGGGGGCACCCTTGGTTCCTGCACCCTACTGCTCAACCCCGGGGTCTCCCTGCTCACAGCTCCTGTTTGCCAGCCACGCCCTGGCAACGTGGAGGCTCAGAGGGTACGCCAAGGTGACTCCAGCACCCTTCAGCCCAGGAAGTTGGCCCAGCCCAGGGCTGGCTGTTGATTTTGGAAATTGGCTATTTGGGAACATGACATTTTTGGGGTCCAAAGCAACGGAGAAGAGAATACGCAAAAGCTGGCTAACGTTAAGATCAAAATTAAGACATGAGCATTAAGAGTCTCCACTTGCCCCGCAGGGACGGGGCAGGAGCTCTTGCTACGTGACCTCGCCCCCAACCACACGGCTATATAGACAGGCCGTGGGGCCCGGTCACCAAAGCCTGCAAGTCCCCAGCCGTCTCCAAACCCAGATAGACGGTGCCGTGGGCATGCAGCTCCTACTGCTGACCGTAGGCCTGGCACTGGTCTGTGGCCTCCAGGCTCAGGAAGAAAGCCAGGAGGAGCCCCAGGAGAGGCTGCAGGAGGTGAACACAGGAGTCCCAGGAGGCCAGGGGCTGGGGGGTCAAACCCTGAGCGAGCGTCG